GTGTACCTATCGCATCTGTTACCCAGTTTATAAGACTAGCAAAAAACACAAGCCGGACAGTCTCATTAAAGGTGTAATATTTATACTTATTATGTTGCTACATTCATACTAAGCTAAATTCATCAAGATGTTATACTAATAAATAATCATGGATTAAAAATTAAAGGCAACTTTACCTAACGCAATGACAATCTAATTTGCATCGTCCTTTAAAAAGTGATTAAATCCTTTAAAAAAAGATTATTCGATTCTTTAAAAGTGATTATTCATCCTTCAGAAAATGATTATTCGATTCTTCTTTAGTGTATTTATGAAACTCTAGAAAGGAAGAAAGGAAAATAATATAAGAAGAAGGGCATTGGCTGGTGCCCATCATTCACATAGCCCAGAATAATGCTTGATATATTGCAAAGGCATTGTAAAAATAATTGTAAAAATTCTCACAATCATTGCAAAACTTCATAAACACTAAACCTGCTACTTTGAAATAGTAAAATCAGAACTTGCAGCACAATGACTTCAGAGTACTTCTTTTCACACTACCACATCACGTAGGAATAGTATGGAGGCGGAGTGACTCAAAGGAATGTACTAGCTCTTCTCATTTTTATATATCCTACAGAATCTTAGTAACAGATGTGGGTATTAATAATACTTCGTATTTCGAATTTCCAAAAATCTTAGTTGAAACACATTTAAAATTATTCGAAGGTGAGATTGTTTATTTTCTAAAAAACAAAGTTTGTCTATATTTTAAATCGATTATGGAAAAGCACTTAATCAGGGTTATCTCGCCTAAAGGAAGAAATATTTTCGGAAAGGATTTTCTAAAGCAAACTGTTTCGTGTTTACGGAATACTTCAGAAAACAATGATAATAACCATCGACGCAGCCAAGACATCGAACCGGCGTCGACATATTAGGATTCGTTGGTTTAACCCACTCAATCACTGCACAGCTCTGGGGAAAAAAATCGAAAGAAAATATTTTAACTCCCGGTTAATCTAGATTTTTTTAGTACAGCGTTAGATACATGATTTTAGTTTAATGCATGCAAACTTCTTTATTGTTAAGATATTTGCATACGAAGAAGAAGTGTATAAATCATAGTTAAGAGCGTTTGATAAAAACAAATATAAAATTCACAAAGAGTGACAGAAATAACAAGTTTCTTTTACTACTATATATAATTTTGAATTTTTTAAAATGCTTTCACAACTTTAATATTCTGTTTAGTTATATTTATTCTAAAAGGTTTGAATATATTGTAAGACATTAATATTATATAACAGGCACAGCTAAACCACAGTCCCTTTAATGCGACTTGCACTGTAATCAATTTTATTTTTTAAATATAATTTGAAGCAGAAATCGTTCTTTCAAACAGTCAATACTTTCATTTTTAAAGTACATTAAGAGCATAATAATTGTAAAAAATTTCAAATCAAGCCTCATGTGTTAATCGAAAAAAATAAAGGCAAATAATTTCGTTCCTTTGATTTTCTGACGTTGTAATGCTATTTTAAAAACAGAATGGCTGTCTTGAGAGTAGAAAATATGCTATAGAAACTGTAGAAAAAACACATATGTAAGAAGTACGCTCCACTGATGATATACCACATGTCTTAACGGAAGGCAGGACGAATGTATATATTTTTAACTTCATAAGAGGAAAACAAAACATAACTGAAGAGCCACTCTTATCAAAAGAATTACATAACTGAATGATTTAAGTCTGATACCCGTACATCTTCGTATGTGTTGCGAAACAAATTCGAATTATTATACTTAACGTAAAATTCTGACAAGCTGACAGTTTGTTTTAAAATGATATTAAATTGTAACTTGAACTTCGATTTCTTTGCAACTCTCTTCATTACGCCTTCTGTTATTCTACCCAAAGAAAGGTCGCAAGTACTTTTGTTTTCAAATTATTACGTTATTCTTCATTTGAATGAAAGGCTTTTCAGATTAATTTGAAAAACTTTGTGTTTTCTTACGGTTTTAATTTATTTGTATAAAAATACTTTGACAGTTATAATCCGGGAAGGATTTTCAAACCAGGAGAAAATACTTAGTTTTCTATCTGAGGGGAAGGAACGGCAGAAAGAATGCTAATTGCACCACACACACACAAAAAAAAAAAAAGCTTTCTTTTTTGAAAAATTAAATTGAATTTAAAAAATTAAGCATAAAAATACACTTTCTTGAATGGAAAGAAAGATTCTAATTAAATCATACAAAATTATTGTTAATTTACTTCAGATGGTTTCTGTTGTTCAAAAGCTACACTCAATAACATAAAAAGCGACGCATAAAGAAGTTATTTAAATGGGACGAAATTGTGTATGCCCATATCTTATGATAGAATATGCAAAGGATTAACTTGACTAGCTGGAGCTCCAGCGTATTATAGTAGAGCATCCGGATATTGTATTAAACAGAGGACATTCCGGTGTTAAGGCATAACTTTCATGCAAATCAGTCCATCTCAGTCCTGCTTCGAATTGAGACCTGATGACCAGCGAAGACGTGTCTAGAGATTCAGGCGAGCGAAGGGGTACACAACTAATTGTCGTCCGCCACGCACTCCGACGGCCAATAGTCATGGTATGGAGTGCCACAGGGATAAATCTTTTAAGTCCTGGGAGTGCCATTTTATTTCATAGCAAATTCCTTTGTTTGTCATTCATGAACACTTTACAGCGGGTGGTACGTCGACAAGATTTTACGCCCTGTAGTGTTTCCCTTCCTTTCACGGATCCCTAAATTTACATTTCGATAGGATAAAGGCCGGCTGCTCACAACACGCCTTTCTAGTGTTTCCGTACTTCTCCAACGCTTTCCTGTCCGGCGGGATTACCAGATATCTCCTCAACAGAGCACGTTTAGGCTCTGATGAGAAGCCGTCTCCGACCGCCCCTGGATCGCGCTGATCTACCTCCCCAGTAGGAACGTGTATGGCAAGCAATCTTGCAGCAGGAAATCTACTATATGCTACCTGCATGAGTCCATATCCAGTCGGATAACAGCTTGCATCAAGCCCAAAAGTGAGCAGACGCATTATAGATATTGTTTATTCTTGTACTTCGTTTTCAATGCATTTACATCACATCTAGCGACTTTTGTCCCTTTCGGCTAATCTCTTCTTAGTACGTAGCTTTTTATATTATATAGTTTATTTTGTTCCTTTTAAAAAGATATGAAAGTATAGTTATGGCTTCTAAAAAATCTAGTTGCAGCTCTTGATTATCCTTATCCCTAAATTTTATCTTGCGGCTGCAGCTGGTTTACAGTTTGGTCACCCTTGCTATATAATTTTGTAAGAGGCATATACCCCGCATGTTGGAATTTTTTATGTAAAAATTTTTCCAAGTCAGAAAAATATAAGTTAATACCTATGGTTCTGTACAGATGTAAATTAAAAATTATTTCCAAATAATTCTATAGGACTGCTATTTATTTAACGTTACCTACGAATAAATAACTTCCGGGAAAAGAAGTTTTACAAAGCTAGAATTAATAAAACATAATTTGAAATAAACAGTGTCAGAAGAATATTTTACTGATATGTCTATGATATAAATACAAAATAATATTACGGATACTTCATATATATATATATATAACAGATCCTATCAAAAATTTTGCACTAACGAAAACTAGAAGAATAAAAGTGTAGTGAAAGGTATATCATATATACTAGTTCAAAATGTTTTATTAAGTTTTTTGAAATAGTTGAGAATAACCAGTTATTTTATAAATAAATTTATGACAGACATTTCATAAATTTATAAAGTCTACAATAAACAATTTAATGGGTTTATGTAGTTTATAAAATGTTATTAATGCAAGGCCCAATAAAAACGTGTGTTTTACTAATAGGATTTTCAACATGGCACTCGACAAACATTATTTCTAAACGAATTAACATTATCTGTAATGAACACCATTTCTAAGAAGAGAATTATCTCTAAGACAAATACACTTTTTGTTGAACCACTGTGTATTACGTGAATATTTTTTAAATCTCTAACTGGTACCTCAACTCTGAGCTGTAACAAGCAATCGGAGTAATTACTCTATATCAGGCACTTCTAGTTTCGACGCTGACCTGAAATCGAAATATTAGCTGTTGTATGCGGCCGTTTCTTGCTCCCAGTTGAAAAAAAAAATCTTTCCTAGGTTATTTTTATTATGAGAGCTAAACATACGGCGTCATCACTTTCTCTGTCAACTTCATTCACTGAATACGGACTGTAAGCCTCTCAGATGTTTCAGAATGAGATTTATCTGAGATTAATTTCACCCTAAATTCCACATGTTTGGGAAAAATAAACATTCTTTAAGGTTTGTTAATGTTTTGAATTTTCACGCATTCTTCGTAATTATTTTTTTTTTCTAAGAACACAGCTCATTAAAACGCAGTTTGCAGATCTTCTGTACAACTTTGCTTTTCAAAACATAGTCTTCCAAACAAAATATGTAAATAGGCTCGTAATATTTTGAAAATTTACTGGTAGTGGAAAGGAAGTGTATTTTTCTTTGAAGTTCTGAGAATTCAGATCTTTAATCAGAATCATCCTGCATATAGCAAGCTAACAAGTCGAATGAATCACATCGGGTATTTTGCAATTTAACGGGTATAGGTCATTGTTCTATGAAACTACTAATTAAAGCTTAGAATTATGATTTATTACGCACTTTAACTGTCTGAAGCAGTTATTTTATGAAATAACTAAGTATTCTACGAAAAAACGGACTTCATACTTTAACGTTACGTATACATAGGAATAACTTGCAGATAATATGCTAAACAAATATAAATTTCTTGAAATTATTTAATTTAATCTGAAAATTATAATATTTTATGGGGCGTTGAAAAACAACTTTACACAAAGAAGCCTCGTACCCACGGGGCTTCCCTGAATACATAAACACTGCTTTGAGTTTTTGTAATAATTTTTCTATAAATTTCTCTTAAATTCTTTTTTTAATAGCTTACTTCAGTAGCTCGCAGTAAAACCAAAAGACTTTGTGGATACAGCGATGATAAATATGAATTCAAAGCCTTCAATTACGGAGGAGAATTAGATGTAGTTTTCCATACATCTAACTCAACGTGGTATAAAAACGCTTTTTTCCAGCTGACGTTTACTGCTGTCAGGAAAGGTGAGATAAATATTTCAATTGTTAAAAAAATTATTTTATTATATTTACGATAATGTGGACGTTTGATATTCCTTCTCAAGACATAGTTTTATATGGTTATACACTACAGTCGATGAACTAATTTGTAAAATTTTTTTTTATTATCGTATGATATTTTTCTTCTTAAAATTAATCCCCTTTTAATGCTAAATATAATTCTACATAGTTCTTGTCTGCATGATGTCTAGCGGGTATCTGAGATATAATTTCTGGATGTAATAAATGCCCAGCCCTGATCGAGATAAAAATTAATCTTCCGACTGCAGATTAGGAGTGGTTACTAGGTAATTAGAATAAAAGATGTACAGTAATCTGAAATTTGATAATTAGTTAAAATTTTACCATTAGCATTGATTTCTAAAGCAAAAGGGGTAATGCATTTCTGAGACAAATAGTGTGTTCTCGGTTCTTCCGGAACGTGTTTTGTATTCTTATCTCTATGCAAAAATTGTTTTTCTTCTTTACTTTTGAATATTGTGTATAAATCATTACAGCAGATAAGTGTTCCGCTATAATTTACTCCAGTGTTGTCGCATAATAACATATAATTAATACAGTTAAATATTAGAGTGCTACATATACGCAAATATGAGAAATTAAACGCACGACAGAATTAATGTACATATCTAGCAAACAATACATAAATTGCATACACAGAAGAATGCACACATATGATCAATAATTAAAGATAACACCAATAATATAAAATTTAAAATACAGTGGTACCTCGTGTAAGAAAATCTTTATTGGCCGCAAAAATTTCTCTGATTGCGAAATTTACACGTGCAAAACTGTATCTCTGTCAAGCTTAAAGTGATTTACGGACTGTAAGCCTCACAGATGCTTCAGAATGAGATTTATCTGAGATTAATTTCACCCTTACTAATTTCAAGCTTAAAGTGGCTGACGTATGTAATGACTGTTCAATTATTTGCTTCAAGAACAACCTTGGAAAATTTGCAGTTACGGGCCACTTCAAAGAGGATACACGGAAAAGTTAGCTATGAGCTCGCCGGGATTCGAACGCCGGATTTTCCAACCACCAGTCGGGTGTTGTACCACTTACATTACGAAGACACGCAATGAGAAAAGCAAAAAATTCCTCGATAAATGAAATAAACACATCACTTTAAAGAACTTATTGAAGCCCTGATTTTTTAAAAAGCCAGATACAGATTTGCAAGAAGGTCAGGAACACCTGAGTCTTTCACATCTATTGCTAAATTATATACACTAATAATATATAGTTATATACAGCGTAATTACTTGTGAAATTGTATGCATACACAGTGTACTTAAATATTTCACAACTAATAAGTTAATAAATTCTTAGCATTTCCAATATCGTTGATGTTTTAAATATTCTGAGAACTTTTTATGACGTTTCGCGAGTTTGGACTGCGCTTAGGAACGGATTACTTTTATATTATCCTGTGGAAAACAGCGACCCGCATGACGAATGCCGTCTTGGAAGGATTGCATACGCCGTGTGAGGCACCGCTTTGCATTAAATGCGAGAAATACAGGTCTTGTTTAAGGTAATTAAATAACAATCTTTACTTTTAACAGTTTCATCAGCACGTTAATTAGTAAAAATGTATAAAATCCTTCTTTTTTCTTCTGATGTAGTACAGGGTGGCGCAAACGGGAAATTTTGAACGTTACAGTTGGCAGCACTGTAGAGCCGGCAGTTGTTTGAAACTTTGCACAATTGTTGTGAGCGCATTGCCATTTAGTAATCATGGATCATTGGAATGGTGCGGAACGTGCAGTAGCGAAAGATCCCCTGATCTTAGTGTGTGCGACTTCTTCCTGTGGGGATATCTTAAAGGCAAGGTGTACCGTACACATCCTGCAATAATCCATGAACTGAAGGAGAACATTGAAAAAGAAATCACTGTCATTCCCCAATATTTGCTACACCGCGCATTCCAGAGTTTTCATAACAGGCTGTTAGAGTGTGAACACCGAACGGGAGCACATCTTTCCGATGTCATCTTTAAAAAGTAAAGAGACACGTTTGGACATTTTTATTGTAAAAACATAAATGACATGCTGAATACATGCACTTTCATTAATAAATTACTAGTTTTATGAATTTATTCGAGAAAATGACGTTATTTCGAAATTTCCTGTTTCCCTACGCCACCCTGTATGTTACTACGTGAGGTTTTTATTATTAAAAAACATAAAATATCCTTATCAATATTACAGTGTTTGGCTGAATAACATTTCATCAAAATATTGTAATTCAAACTTTAAACAGTAATAATATAACAGTAGTAATATAATATTACTAATATTATAATGCAGTACCTTACAATAAAGTTGATTATATAGATGAAAATAGAATATATTCGTTCTTGGCATACGTTTTTATTTTCATATTAATTTGAAAGTTATGATTTCTGTTCGTAAGCAAGTTTTCGGATCACATTACCTTAAGTATTACGCTTTAGTGATAGTATACATTTGGATGTATCCGTCGTAAGAAAATCTTTCGCTTTTGTGAGTCGATATATTGCAAGATTAGTAAATGAACTATTAACTCGAAATTGTTAAAGTAATTTTTTCTCAAATACTGTTTTTTTTTCAACAGGTTTCCTGCGCACTCATATTCATACCTAATTAAGTACTTCAATACAACAAAATTTCAAATGGTATACACGGTGCTCATACTATATTTTTTTAAGTAGCTTAAAAGCCACGTTGAACTCCGTACATATGGCTTTCTTTATTTGAAATATGGATGTTGTATTTACAGCTTACGAGCTATTCATAATATACAGGTTCTGTCCAGAAAGTAATGAGATTGATTCCATAAAATTCGTTTATTTCAAGATAATTTTGCAGACTCTTAATATTCTACAAAATAGCCTCCTCCTGCATTAATACACCGTTGGCAATGACTTTGCCACCCTCTGATACCCCCCAGAACTGAATAATTCCCCAAGCATTCAAGCTTGTCCCATACTAAACGCGCGCTACGTTTTTCTGCATGTTCTGCAGATTGTCAAAGCGAGACCTTTTAAGCTGGATTTTAAACGAGGAAATAGAAGAGGTCCGCTGGTGACTAATTGGGGCTGTATGATGGTTGGAACAACGTTGTGTTTCGCCAAGAATTGAGTCACTTTGAAGAGTGTGTGGCCCGGTGCGTTACAGTGGTGCAGAATCCAATCGCTTGCGAGCTCCGGGCGGACGCGCGTGATTGGATTCCTCGACTTTTCAAGATTTTCTTTGTGCACTATTCCTTTGATGTCAAAGAAGATAATGAGTATAGGCTTCAGTTTTGATTTGTTCATTCGAGCCTTCTTTTTACAAAGAGATCGGGACGTGTGCCACCTTGCACGCTGTCTCTTTTTCTTTTTTTCAGGATCATACTGAAAAACCCATATTTCGTCACCTGTAATAACTCGCTTCAAAAAATTAAGGTTACTTATTACACACTTCAACAATTCACGCGGAATCGAGTCACGGCTTTCTTTCTATCCGTCGGTCAAAACCTTGGAACCAGCTTGGCACAAATTTTCTGTATTGAAATTCTTCCCTGACGATTTGACGCACAATCGATTTCGAAAGTTCCCAACACCTCACAATCAATCGGACACACATCCCATGATCGGAGTCCAAAAGCACTTTAATTTTAGCCATTTGTCTGAAGTTTGAGAACTTAATGAACGCCCAGCGCGTTGTTCGTCATCGATGTCCTCTTTTCGGTCACTAAAGGCTTTGTGCCACCTAAACACCTCGGACAAAGAATTCTTCCCGTTGACTTGCTAGCCTTCTTTTTGGCCAGAATCTCCGTTGACAGTGCATGGCCTTGGAGCATTTTGTGATCGGAGAATTCGTATTTTGCCCTAGGAGAAGTATTTAATACCCAGAATGGTCGCATATATAGGTACTGCAAGTCTTGAACTGTTTCTGCATCCTGATTGTATTATGGTATTGTGTGGTTTTACTGTGGATATCATTCTTGACCCCTTTTTATTTGAGAAGAAACACTCCTTAACGCCCTCAGAGCTGTTCCGTAGGGAATGCCGGCTATTGCGAACTTCTTCAGATGCAAATCACTCCTGCTTTACAGCAACGAGAAAGCGACCTCACATTGGCGGACCAGTGCCCACGTTAGAGATGATCGGATAATTTTGAGAAGTTTTTTGACTGTCTATCTCCTCGTTCTTCGAACTACCAGTTACTTCTGGTTGCGGGGATCTTTGAAAGTTCGAGTCTGTGGAGAAAGCATACGGACTATGCCTGTATTGAAACGAGAATAAAGCAACATTTTATGTTGCTGTAATTTATCAACACACCCTTTGCGCTACTGTTGAACACGCTATAGTTCGCTTTGAACGTTTAATTGACGCAAATAGAGTGCACATTAAAAAATACTGTGATTAAATTAAAGTTTTCTGTTTTCAATTTGTGCTTTTGCTCTTCATGTGCCCCTTTCTCACCTAGTGGTCGAAATTTGAGCTATTACTTTTTATTTCAGTTTTCTTTACCCTCATGTCCGTATAACGTTTATATAGCAAAAGAGGTGTAGCAAAACGGGCTCTACGTAGATCTAAATAGGGTTACTTTAATTATAACTACCCTGTGTATCCATTAGGTGCTCGCTCGGGATAGGGCAGTTAGTGAAGAATGGCCTAATCCTTCAAACATTTAACCATCTTTTTACCAAAAGCGTTGCTCAGAGTGCAGCACAGAGGGTAGGTCGATATTGGTGTCTCGAGAAAAATGAAAGAATACACTCAAACAACAACATCTAACGTGGGAGTAGAAATAATTGCATGCTGGAGTTTGGATTAGCAAGTCAGCCTCCTCTAACCAACCAGAGCGAAAACCCATTAGATATATAATTTAGGATGAGAATGTATTATCGCGATTTAAAAGAGAAATATAGTTGTCTGGGTACATAAATCGGCGTCTAGGTTTACTCACCTCTATTTGGGATCACATGA